GTGTATTTTATGCCTCCGCCAATCATTCTGGAATTTTGGCCTGACATTACTTTGACACAATCATTAGATCACACATACAGAAATGGAAAGCCACCAGTGCTTTTAAGCTCACAACATTTTTCCAGTGAGAATTACTGATAGAGACAGTCATGGAATACACAGACATATAAATTTTACCCCAAGTACTGAATGTGGAGCCTTGCCACCTCCATTACAATATTGAGTGGTGGCAACATAATACTATTTGGGAAGGAAGGAAAGCCAAGGAGAATTCATGCTGGAGAAAATCTATCATGTGCACATTCAAAAAAAGACTGGACACATGATTGAGGGAAAATAATGTTGAAGGATACAAGGAAAAGGCTGGATATGGGATTCAGGATAGGATCTAGGATGGGCACTCGTGGAGTATAAACACCAGCAGGACTGGATGGGCTAAATGGCCTATTTCTGAGCTATACCTTCTATGAATTTTCTATAAAAATAAAATAATAATAGGATCAAATTCCATCATTCAAAAAAATAGTCATAATTATATCCAAATCAACATTCGAGACAAAAATGTTAAAGAAAAGTAATGCATTTTGTAGTGTTTGAATGTTGAAATATTCCAAAACCTTTACAGTGATAATGTCAAACTTGGACACTGTTTTTGAAGGCAAACACAGCAGCTAATTTGTCCACAGCAAAATCCCACAAACAGCCATGAGGTGAATGACCAATTTATCTACTGGATTTCTTGACCTGAATACCAGGAGAATCTCTTTTCATAGTGTCACAATATCTTAATACCCATTTGAATAGCAGGCAGTTAGGTTACTAATCATAATAATCATCCTTGTAATTTGATATAATGCCTTACTACGTCCAATGCGACAGCTAGTTTGCACACCGCACTGTCCAACAAACAACCATAAAGTAAATGACCAATTTTATCTGGGGATTGTTAGCCAGGACACCGGGAGAAATTCCCTTCTCTTTTTTCCCTGCCATGGGATCTTTAACAGGCAGACTAGAATGAACCTTGGTTTAACGTCTTATACATAGGATGACACCTCTGACAATGGGCTGGATTGTCAACTTAGGCTGTGAGTTCAAAGTTCTGATGTAGGTTGAACCCATAAACTTCTGACTTCAGGGGCTACCAACTGAGCCAGGCTGGTACCCCAAATATATCCCAAACTTGATCTCGGTTTAACGTCTTATGCGAAGAATGGCACCTCTGACAAAGCAGCGGTACCCAGCACTGTGCTGGAGTGTTATCTAGACGATGAATTCAAGTGTTATAGTGGGGCTTGAACCCACAACCTTTTGACCCAGAGGTGAGAGTCCTACCATCTTGAGTGAAGCTGACACCTAAACTTGCACTGTGCTTGTGAGTCCAGTCGCTACAAGTCAGCATTAACCATTCTGGCTTTTACTCTAAACCTATAAATAGAAAAATACCCTGTTCAACTAGGAACGAGTAAGCAAGTTACTGTGAGTATCAGTGAGAAATCCAATAAAACTAAAACGCCCCTCACACAGGGCAGCGTCCCAGCGAGCTTGAGTTTCAAGTTGAATTGCCTGTTGTATGTATGCTTCCTATAGAGACATCAGAGATCCCTAGTAGTGCCTTTGAGGTCAAATCTTGGTTCTAATCTTACTCAGTGTTACATAAAATAATCCCTGCTTGCTACAGCTGCTCGTGGTATGTATTTAATACAAACACAGAGACACTCGCTTGGTATCCTCAAAGGAACCTTTTCTTCAGTAGGTAACATTTCCCACATTTACTCTTATGCATATTGTACCCCCAAAGAACACAGAACGTAGTTACACCATACATTTGCAAGCTAGTTAAATGTGGCTTCAATTCCCCCCAGCTTCTCAAAATAACTTCATTTTTCTGAAAGCATTTATTGAATGCTAAACTCCTGGTAAAACTATGAAAGGAAAGTTCACAGGCTTCACAGTGGCTTACCAAACCTTGAATCAAAATAGAAATGAGATAAGGGTTTCTATTCAACCCAATCACAACCTTCAACTGAATGAGCTAACTTGTCACTCTGCATTTCATTTTGTGAAGTCTGATATACCAATCAAGTAGAGAAAAATAGAATGGTAAAGGGAGAGAAATAAAAATAGGTGGAGTCCTGTAACATAGTGGTTAGCGCACTTGCCTCGTGAGCGAGAGGACCTGGGTTTGATTCCTGGGCTGGGTGAAACCTTAGGCAAGTTTCCTTACTCCACACGCCCCTGTTTGCCTAGCAGTAAGTAGGAACTTGTTTCTTGTCAATTGGTGGATCACTTTCCAGGGGTGATAGTCCCTTAAAAAAAAATTTTTTTTAAATAATTTGGTGACTCAATCCACAACTGTTTGTGGGACACTGCTGTGCGCAATTGGCTGCCACACATTATCCACAAAATATGTACAGTTAAATCACTTTACAGTATATTCTGTGAAGTGCTTTGAGACGTCTCAAAGACATTATAAGGCGCTGTATCAAATGCAAGGATTATTATATTTTTCCTTTTCAAAACCAATGGGGTCTAAAGCACAACATTCCTAACCCTGAGATCACAATTTGCCAGGGAGCTTTGCTTTCGGGCTAGTGCTTGGACAAAAAAATGCTGTAAAAGTCCAACAGAAGGCAAAGTGACAGCCACAAACTGACTTTTGCTTTGCTGATGTTATCTTTGTCTTAGGTTTGTTAGTAAATCATGGCGTTTTCGGTGCAAAGTGGAATTAGCTCAATTAACACAGAGACTTGTGATCTCTGAATGCCGTATTTTAGACCCTAATGTCACTACTGAAACCTGTCAAGTGAGAATAATCCAGATTCTGTACCATTTCCCCACACTACACTAAAGCTGACCTAAATTCTGTTCACTTGCTCTGTACTGCTCGCTTTCTGACACAACGTGCTTTGGCGTCTGATACACACTAGAGTATGCTGAGCTAGGAGTGTACAGGGCGCGATTCTCCCTGCCCTTGTTCTAGTGTGTTTATGAGAATATTCAAAGGGAATGGTCAATTAATTCTGTACAAATACAACTGTGTCCAATAACACGTATGAAAAGTGATTATGAAAGATGTCTAATATAATGCTAGCGAACATTTAATTACAAGCATGGAACAAAATGTTTATCATGGTCAAGGAAGAACGTGTGTTAGAGAGCAAGCGTTAGACTACAGTTTTATAACCAATGGGTATACAGCTTTAAGACAGAGCTAAGACAGCTCGGCTCAGTGATTACACTGTCCAGAGAGCCACCATGTTATAGAGCAGACAAAACAAAAAGCAATTTAGATCCTTAGGTTTCACAGGGCAGATCACAGTGTGAACCCATGACAATCACTGAATACATTGATCTTTATTGTAGTGAACCTGTCAGGGGAATAACAACTACATGCCAGTGGTGTGACAGACCAAGATTATACGGAGCCTGAAAAAAAATCCTTGTCCCATAATCATGTTTACAAAGCACATTGAGCACAATCTCATTCAAAATATAGCGCAATAGGCAAGGGCGATGGATATGCAGTTTCCTGCTAATTCCAGTGGTGCTAAGGTCTATGGAAGCCACAGGTTGCTTTGTGGATACAGATGACATGACATTTTAGGCTGGATATATACAGCTGGACTTACTCTTGGATTGGGCAATGTAGATGGAAGAATTTAAAATAAAAGTAATTATTAATTGTTTCATACCTTTTTCCACTTTCTTGTAAATGATAATTAATACAGATTTTTTTTAACCTCTTTCACACAAAATACAAACCGTGTTTGCAAAAATAGTGAAAATGGTTACCAACACCTAAAGATGAATTTCTAGCCCCAAATTTTAATTCCTTATTATTAGCAAAAAAAAATTGCTTTTTTGCTTCTTCAGCTTTTGAGACTGCCAAACCTTCAAGCCCCTCCCATTCTGGAATATCTGCCAGGAGCGCTCAATAGACAAACAATCTCCAGTTAAATCTAATTATTTCATTTACAATAAAAATCTGTAATTGATAGATTACAGATCTGCTCTCCCAAGGACCAGAACAGTTTGATTCAGGATTGCTGCCACGGTGGCATCAACAGATATCCCCTTGTCACTTCTAGGGCATCTCAGCACACAGTAATGATAATCATTTGGTATAGATCCTTTTATGTCAGGACAACATCTCACAGTGTTTTACAGAATATACCACAAAGTGTAGTTACTATGCATTTGAAGGCAAATGTGGCAGCCTATTTACATATCGCGATGTCCGACAAACAGCCATGAATTTTATCTGGTGGATTGTTGACCAGGACACCAGGAGAAACTCCCTCTCTTTTCAAACAGCGGCAATATTATAATAATAATAATCCTTGCATTTGATATAGTGCTTTTCACGTCGGGAGGACGTCCCAAAGCGCTTCACAGAACACACTGTAAAGTGAATTGACTGTATATTTTTTGTGGGCGAACGCGGCAGCCAATTGCGCACAGCAATGTCCCACAAACGGTCGTAGATTGAAAATGACCAATTTATTATTGTTTTTGGTTTTGGAGGGATTATTATTAGGCTCTGTGTGGAGTAAGGAAACTTGCCCAAGGTTTCGCCCTGACCTGCCTGGAATTGAACTCAGGTCTCTCGCTTGCAAAGCGAGTGCTCTAACCACTGAGCTACAGGACTTATTATTATTATTATTATTTCCAGGACTGTGTGAACTAGTAACTTTCACACAAAACTAGAATATAAAGTATCACAAACGTGCTACAACAAAACAGTACCAAGTACTTGAGCGTACACACACACACACACAGAAATTGAACTGAACTGAGCATGTTTCAATTTTGTCCATCAGAGAGCAAACCTGCTGCGGAACAAGACGGTTCAGTCTCATTTCACCTGAAATCCTTCGAGTTTACTTGCTGCCACATTGACTAAGTACCAGTATTGAGGCATACTTGGGAATGAAGGATTTTAGTGACAATTTACAAACTGGCAATAACAAATCAAATTACATTGAAAAAAAACTTACTCATCGAATATCAGGTCTGGTGCAAAGTAAAGCATTGTGCCATTCGTGTGTTTGAACGATCTCCAGCTAAGGCCAAACGACATCAAAGACATCCAAGAGTAACGGAGAAGAACCATTTGGTCATCAAGGGCCAGATTTCGGAAACCTATAAAATACAAAGTCACAATCATAAAAATGTCAATTTCAAACAATGTACGGCGATTAGTAAAACAATTTCTTAATAAGGAAACTGAGTGAGTGAAGATTCCCTCCACTAACTGGAAGTATACACAAGGTACCCAAAGAGACAGTGTGATGTGATACCTTATAATAGAATCCTGATAGAAATTGCTGCATATTAGACCCCATTACTGGCATTTCCTTACATTTTTGTTCAGTGTTTTTTTTACATTATTCCTATTATAGCTCATGGTACTGAGAAGACAGCTGAGGAAATTTGAAGATAAATGGTCACATTGTGTGAAGTCAAAAAACCTGGGTTATTTCTGGAAAGTTGCTGCAAACAGAAAGTTGACATTTCATGACATTGGAATCAGCAGTTATAACATTGTTGATGAATTAGCTGACAACTAATTAAAGGTCCAATTGCATAGCACCTAAATTTGGTATAAGTGGCTTGAATAAAAGGTCATTGTATCTTTGCCTACATAAAAGTCAAGATGGCAATAGGATCCAGGCTCGTGTAGCGACACTGAATTGGTTTGCAAAATGCCAACACATTTTGTGTGCTATTTGCTCGCCTTTACGAAAAATTTAACCAACTGTGTCATAAGCCAAATATTTATACGCCCTTGTAAGGTCATGTCCCTCACAATTCTCCATCCAGACAGAGGGAAGGTTTTAAAGAGTACTACTGTTGATGTTACTCTATTTACAAAAGTTGTTTCTTCTGAATGATGATGAATGATGTCTGCCTTTATCGTTGCTGTGTTGCTACACTGAGATACCAGGGCTTTAATGAATAACTGGAAGGTATAAGAACAGAGCGGTTCTGTCTGGGATCTTCAGATAAAAAAGGTACATAACCCTTTCAGCACAAGTTCAGTTCTTTAGCAAATAAAGTTTCGCACAGATAGAAAGTACAGCAGAAATTATATCTATTAAGAATAGGCAGAAAGTGAGGAATTTCAGAATTAAAAGTACTGTTGCCACAGTCAAGGTAGATGTTTACTGTGGGATCTGTAACCTTACAAAATTCAGGAAATGTATAATGTGCCACAGTCTATTCTTATCATTCTCAGTCAAAATAGCAATTACAGCTTCTACCTCGTGGGTACGGGAAGAAATCATTGTGTGACATGATTCGGGAAAATAATGAGACAGTGAAAGCTCCGAGGGAACTACAAACCTGTTAAACAGGCTAGGAATGGTAAACTTGTGATCAATATTCTAATTGATACATGAGAGAGAATTGATGATCAGTACTCTAAATGATACATTAGAGAGAATCAGTTAGCTTAAAATGTATTCCTCAAGAATAGATGCAAATGGTCAAATTTTGGTTTCTGACATGGCAAACTACAGTCCTTAGAAGGTTGTCTGGAAGCCCTGGAGAGGTCATGATGAAATGGGTTACAAGTAGGGTAGGGGATTGGTCATTGTATTGTTGAGGACGTTAGCTATGCCCTGAATAGCATTGTATATACCTCTCTTACCGGAATTCTGCCCTCATATCTATACTGCAGTAGTGAGGAATGGATGCAGGCTGTAGCACTTGAAATCCCTTTTCTTTAACATTCGGTCAATACAGAAGATCAAATAAAGCCACCAGAAGAATGCCGAACAAGGAACATTCATTTTGTAAAGCCGTCTTGATTCAAATTGGTCATTGAATCTATTTCAGCAATCCATTCTTCACATTTTAATAGATCATCTTAAATATTGCTCAAGAATCGATTGATGCACAGCAGTGCACATTTACAGGATGAAGCTGCAATTTTATCAAAACTTCAACTTCAAATATTGACACCGTCAGACGCAAAACGAGAGAAACAATCATCTCCCCTTAAAGTAAAAGAAAGCTTTTCTTTGAAGGAGTTTCAAGGTGAGAGTAAAGAGTTAATCTAGAGCTGAACATGGAATAATGCGATACAAAAGTGAAGTAAATCAAAGTTAAGCATATTCTTTTTAAGAGAAACTAGCATCTGGACAGTATTGCTTCCAACCCCTCCACTTTCATTACTGTGGTACAAATAGAAACAGAAAATAGTAGATCATAAATGGCCTTGCAGCTCAGCTCACAATTACACTGTGATCTGAGCCAACAGCTGCCACATTAACAAGGACACTGTGAAGCCTGAGAGGTAACATGACAATGGAAGATGGGGGAAGAAGAGTTGATGGTGCAATGAGCCAAATGAGATCTGAGTGTAATCAAATAGCTACTAACAGCAAATGGCAAAGCAATGGATTGTTCAATCCAATGCAATTCCAGTGTTACATAGAAACAGCAGTAGGTCATTCAGCCCCTCAAACCTGTTCTGCCATTCTATAAGATCATCGCTGATCTGTACCTCAAGTCCAATTACCCACCCTTGCCACGTATCCCTTAATACTCTGACCTAACAAATATCCCAGATATGTGTGCTCCCAGATCTGATGTGATTCAAACGTACAATCTATAATCTTAATACAAGGCTTTGTCCTGTTCACTGTTCGAAATGGCAGCTGAGTTGATCAGCACGAAGATTGTTCTTCCAAATCACTCAAGCTCCGTTACCAGTCACAAAACTCTGCAGTGAATCCTGTGAAACCCTTTGAGACGTCATCCCGACCTGACAGGCATGATACGATGTTGAGAATAAAAAGGTCCCCCTGCACTTAGCTTGCTTGAATCCCCAATCAATGGAAAATGGTCAACAAAGCACTGGTTTTCAAATCTGACCACTGGTCTGCACCCAAGCTCCCCTTTGTTGGTATCTTGAAAGAACACCAAGTATGAGGCTGGGCTGCAATCAGGGCCAAATGGAGTGGTATCAAGTAGGAAGTTGCTGTCAGATTGGCATTCCATCTAGCTGTAAAAGGTCTAGGATTCATTGGCTCAGATCAAGCAGATCATATTTAGTGGTGCATTGCACCCAGCCAACATAACTAAACACTAGTTTCCTAAGAGATTGTTGCACCACAAGCCAAACAGCAAAAAATGATTCGGCAGATGACAAGAACGGGCCACCAAATGCACACTCTTCCATCATTAGCACGCCCAATTAGAAATGGTCCTGTCATCAGCTTCTTTGAGCTACAAGTGTGAGATAGACTCGATGTGACATGATTCTCAGACACACTACAATGATACAACATTGGGCAAAAGCCATTCTCTTGAGAGTGACAGGCATATCATACGTCTCAGTAGATAAGGCAGTTATAGAGCACTGCATCTGCTGAAAGTTAATCTGGAATCCGAGGTCAAATGACAAAGTTCCATCAAAATGCAACAACATAATCAACTTAATCAAGGTCAGGAATAAAAATGATCCCGCAAAAAGCTCCTGGCATTCATGGCATAGAATCTCAGATTGTAAAGAGCTGTTCCTGGCTAATCAACCCATGAAATAACAACAACAAGATTACATTTGTATAGCGCCTTTCACGAGAGGACGTCCCAAATAATACCATGGGATCTTCACAAATGTTACCCAGCCACCATCGGTAGCTAAGCTTTCCGACAAGATGAGCTGCCCTCAATCCCTCAGCCTTGCCCCCTCCTTCTCCATCTCCAGATTGTGCCTGAAGATCTCCCTCTTGGACCGTGCTTATAGTCACCCACCCGCCCCATTCGGCGTCAGGCTCAGCCACTGTCAAGTGCTCTAAGATGCTGCCCCGTGTGAGGATCCCTGTATAAATGCAAGTTGTTGTTGTACTTTTTGGTACTCCCTCAAAAATCCCTTTGTATTGCACTCCCTTCGAACCGTTTCTAAAATCCTACCACACTATAAGTGCAACTTATTGTTGCTGGGAATTCTCTTCAACTACAAATATTGTCTTAGTAATTATTGCCCGTGGTTGCAAAAGAGTGGGAATGCTCAAGAAATCTTGGTCCTATTTTTCATCATTGTTAACTGGTAAACTCCTCAGTTATGGGATACTAGTCTATCTGTCATGTCAGGAAAAGTAATCGAATATCTTGCCCCATGACTCACAACATCCTGTAGGGCAGTCACTGCATACCAGACAATCTTCTACAATACAGACACGATATAGTTGACTCTCAGTCTGGTACAGAGATGAAAGTCTGTTTCGAGGGCTTATATATTATGCGGAGACCTGATGATAGCTGGAGCAGACCAGAAGAGATAAAAGGTTCAAGTATAGAATTGATTCAGGGTTGGCAGAGCGAACCCTCTGGGCTAAAGTAACGTGCTGTTTTACCCTTAGTGCAGGGTGGTGCTTAGTGCATCCGGCTACCCTCTCCCTCTCTTTCATCTGGCCCATTAGCTCCCTCCATAATCCGTAAATGTTACGTTACGTTTCTGGAAGGGAAACACAAAAATATTGTTTACGTGGCCCGTGGACGTTTCTCAAATAGGGCATCGGCCCTCAGCAGCCAAAAGGTTGGACCACCCTGCCTTGTGTTTCTCTGCTCCCATTTGTAACAAGGATCACGTTTCTGAGATGTTGACCTTTGTTATCAATAGCTACACCCATTGTTGTTCTCGCTTAAGTATGCCAACCGTCTCTCTAAAAACCCACTGACAACCTTTTTACAAAGCAATTTAAACACTCTGGCAAAACATTGCTCGTCTCCCAAGCTTCTCTCCTTGATTATCAGCTCTGTGCTTTTGGATGTGATCCAACCGAAGAATTCCTAACATGGTGGATTTTGTCCTCAAGGACATTCAGATGGATATTACTGTGTTGACGATACCACAACAGGAGCAAATAAAGCACCAGTGCAATTCGATCAGTAAAAAATAACATAAACTCAAAAGATACACAGAAAATATATGGAAAACGCCCACCAGCAAGACACGGACATGATTCGAGTTGGGTTTCCGAGAGCTCCTACCTGGAAGTACTTTTGCCCATTTCACTATTCGAATCATCTGTTTCTCTGCCAGCCTGTTCAAACTGGACAGCAGATGTGTAGTGTTGTCTGGCACACTGCTGTCGTAGCACGCATAAACCACTTCGGGTTCAATCACTTGTAGAACGGTAGTCACTGAGTGGTTGATATGCATTGGCAGGAGTGAGTAATGAGGGATGGCTGCAGTACTGGCCGTGGGTTCTGGCAAAGGAGCCGTGAAAGTGATGCCTTCCTTGGGGCTGTGTGGTGGCTGCTGATCTTCGTGCACTCCCTTCACCTTTCCCAGTTTCTTGGATTTTCGTGCTAGGGCAGAAAAGGGGAACACAAATCAATTCTCGCCACCTTGTAGGGATGCTAGGCCTGACAGTTCCCGTGCTTGCTAGTTTTGGTGGGAGAAGCAGGATAAACAGAGATGAATGTCAGGAGACAGCAACAAAGGACAAAACAGAGTGTTTTGCATTCCTAATACACAGAAACCATCCCGTTAAATTCATTTGAAAAGGGAGGAACAATTCAATTTGCCTTGTTACTACTTTGTTAATTTAAAAAGAATTACATTAAGGAGCAACCTTTACAGCACTGCGAAGACATATTTAAAGATAAATATTTATTATTAGGTTGGACCTGGTGTTAATGAGTTTAAACAAAGAGAAGATTTCCAAGGAGCAACAAAGCAGTGACACAACTGAATAGCTCAGAGGAAAATGTTGTCTGAGAGAAATGGGTACAACGGCCATTGGCAGGTATACTCCAATGGAGAGGGCGCCCAGGGCATTCAGAGGGCATAATGGGCTCAGGAATTGCAATAGATGATACTGATCCACTAACATACAGAAGCAATCATTCAACTCCGCTATCTATGCTCTCCTGTTCAGGTGTCAGGATCTACCTGGCACCGACATGATCCATTTTGCCCACCAGTTTCCAGGGCATCACTGCACTTAAGAGCACTTAAGAGCCAGACTATGAACTCATGCACCTCTGGAGCCAACAGCACCAGATTGGCCAGATATTCATTATAAAATGGATTTCATCTGCTCTCTACAATAACATTCATCATTTAGGAACATAAGAACAGCATGAGGCCATTCAGCCCTTTGAGCATGTTCAGCCATTTAATTAGATCACAGCTGATCTGTACCTCAACTAATCCTTTCAATTCCAACTTCCCACTTTCTCCCCATATCCCTTAATACCCTGACCTCCCACAAATCTAGCAACCTCACTTTTGAAGGTGTGGATGGATCCAGCAAAGTCTGTTGGACTCTAAAGAACAAATGAACTTCTCTGTGTAAGTTTCACAAAGCTAGCTGGGTGAATGAAGGCAGGGCCCAGTGCCCACAAAATATTATCTACCAATTAAGGATTTTTCTCTGAAATAATGTGGAAATGTCTGCACCAAAAAAGTGACAGAATTTGGGATCTATTTTAATTCAAGACATCTTGCATTTTTCCTCAAATTCAGTCAAATTTAATTTGTTTCTTTGCTGGAGAAATGAACGAAAGATGGACCCTCTGGTTCCTCCACCTGAAGTTCTTTGAAAGGCTTATTGACTGAAAGGTTAAATTTTACGTCTACTTGAAACTTAAGGGGACTCAATTAAAAAACACAGTGCTGCCACATGTCGCTGGATGAACTCAGAAAATCTCCTGTTCTCTACTACAGACAGATATGTTGTATCCCATGTGGCTGAAACATCAAGGAAGAAACACAAGTTGAGCACCAGTGTAGATACGCTTGTTTACTTAGTAACACATAGGACTACAACACAAAGTGCAAATGAATGGTCTACTGCAAGTCTCAGGGTGGGAAGTAGATTAAAAGTCTCAAAATGAAAGAGGCGGTAAATAAATTCCCACTCAAACACAGAATGGCTGCAAAGTAAAGGCAGGATATTGATTACTTATATGTTGTTATCAATAACAACAACAACCTGTGTTTATATAGCGCCCTTCACGCGGGATAGCATTGCATAGTGACGGAGTCCGACACCGAGCCAGGGGAAGAGGTGACCGTAAGCACGATCAAAAAGTAAGGTCTTTAGAAGGGATTTGAAAGTGGGGAGGGAGGGAGCAAGGCGGAGGGATTGAGGGAGAGAGCTCCAGACTGGTGTGATGGGGGTACAGAGTTCTGTGCGGTTGAGTATCCGGGCAGCGGAGTTTTGAATTAATTGACTTCTGTGTATGGTGGATCTGAGGAGACCAGCGAGGAGGGCAATGGAATAGTCCAGCTGGGAAGTGACGAGGTGTGGATGAGGGTTTTGGCTGTGCAAGTCATAAGGTACGGACGGAGGCTTGCAATGTGACAGGCATGGAAAAAAGCGGTCCTGGTCAGGGAACAGAAATGGGGTAGAAAGGAAAGCTGGGGATCGAACCTGATCCCTAAGTTGTGCACAGGTTTGGTAAGTTTGAGGGAGAGCCTAGCATTTAAAGGAAGTATTTAGAGAGCAATAATGCGATGGACATCATCAATACTGGGAAATCATGGTGCAAACTGGGTCTTGTACTCCATGGTATCACCAGGAATTTAATATATTAAAAAGTGTCACTTGATGTACGGACTCCAGGAGCATGCCTTGCTAAAGGATCTTAAATTAGGTTTTCCATTATGCTTCCAATTTTTGTAACACACCGTGAGCTGTCAGGTTGGTATTCATATGTATAGAAATATAGATTCTGCAGGCACTGAAGCAACTAATCACACTCAGAAAATATACTGTTTGCGCTAACCAAATATGAGTAATCTCTGGAGTGAGCAGTCAAGAAGATATTTTGCTGATCTTTCCTCATGTGATTAAATATATCTGGCAGGATCTACAATACATTAGAGTTGATGTGTCTGTGAATGGAGTGGGTTTCTTTGGTCAAAATATTTTCTCTTTCAAATGCTTTCTTATATTCTCATGCTCTTTGCTGTACTTTTTAAGTTTGGAGAAGGAATTGATTAGGGGTTTGAAGAGAAACATAATACAATCCGCGGAAAGAGCAGAGAATTGGGAATAGAGTGAACAGTTCCAGGGAGAGGCTTGATGGGCCAAAAAGTCTTTTCTCTACTGCAATTTCTATGAATCTATTTTGATGAATGAAAAGCATAAAAGTGCAAACTCCAAAACCCAAGCACACAAAGCCAAGCAGTGGAAATGTTGAAGTCAATTGTTGGTAAATTTAATGCTGATTTACTTTCACTTTACGTTCAGTGAAATTAACGCTAGTTAGCAAATTTCAAAAGCGGTTCAAAATTGCAGTACATTTTGATATCCATAGACTAAAAATATCAGTTGAATCAATTACTGTGAGGCAAATCACATTGAATTTAGTCACATTGCATGTTTCAAATAATTCTATGGAATGTTTCATTTTTATTTGAACCAGGCATTAATCTAAAAGGACAAACCCAACTCAATACAATTGAAGTTTTCTTTTTAAATACTTGTGATAATTGGGCAGCCAAAATAAGTCTGCATATCATTCTGTTGTTTTGCGCTGATACTGAGCCTTTTTGCACTGCATTACAGTAGAATGTTTATCTAAAATTGGTAGGTTTCTGCATGCAACGACAATCCATTACACTTTACAATAAAATGCTGTGAAGTTTTGAGAGATGTTCTGACAAAGTACTCAGATGTTAGATCAAGTGCAAATCATTATTATTATTATTGATAATAATGATTAATAACAATAAATTGTATACCTTAAATCCGGAAGTACCATATTTGTATAAAATACATATTTATATGTTCTGTGTTTCAACTGTCAGAAATAAGTTCACAGAAATTGACACTTACACCCAGAAGGAACGTCAGACAATATGTTGAAGGGTTGTTGTTTACATATAAATGGGAACTGAAAGGCTGCCATGGAGATGAAAGGCTAAATAGAAGTTGAAGTGACAAAAACAGGCACTTGTATTTTGACAACTAGAAAAGAATGACAGGTAAATTGAAGTTACCTTTTAAGCAGAACACAATGCTACAAATCAGTGTAGCCTTTTGCCTACAAAACACACAGTCAACACACTTTACAGTAAATCCTGTAATCATGTGAAGGTCCTTGGGATTTCCTCTTTCCGAGTTTAAGATATGCAATTTATTATTATCATTATTATTAATCATTATTTTTACTAATAATAATAATATTAGCGAAAGTAATGATTAATAATAATTAATTGCACTTGATGTGCACTTGTTCATATTGCAAAGAACTTCACAGGATTTTATTGTAAAGTGTAGTGATTCTACTTTTGACTATTGTGTAGCTCAAATAATGTCACTGTAGCATTTAGAGCTTCACAAAATACTGGCGTATGCCCAGCCACAGAAAGGACAACTACTTTGCACAGTGTGGTACTCTACACCTACACTGGTTTCACCTCAGTTACAGGAAAACGTGAACCACCCACTAAATGCCTAGGGAGGACTAAGGAGCTACGAATGAAATAACCTGCAGTAAACTGCAGCAGAGCTGCTGGTTTTGGTGCACTAGTTTAGTCATCTGTGCACAACCCAATTACATAATGTTATTGGGGTGTCTTCCTGATCCATCACTGTTAAGCATTGTATTACATGGCATTTTATAGACTTCGGAGGGTTCATGTCTTGCAGTAGGTGTTTGGATTGTGCTTCTTGCCAAAAAGCTGTCTACAAAGTATCTAATTACCTGCAATTTTGGAGTCTCCCCCCTCTCCCCTTTAATTGTATATCAATTTTCACTGAAACATAATCGAAATGCTCAAAAATATTGACACCCAGCTGTACCTCTCTGCCTCCACCCTTGACTCCAAGACCACTGCTGTCCTGACTGAATGTCTGTCAGACATCAAGTCCTGGATAATAACTAACTTTCTTCAGTTGAAGACCGAGGCTCTCTGATTGGCTCACGTCAGCGCCTCCTCACCTCAGGCGCTGACAGCATCCCCATCCATAGTTGCATACAACTCCTTGCTTGTCGGTCTCCCCAACTCTTCCCCCCATAGGCTGCAGATCATCCAGAACTCTGCAGCCTGTGTCCTCTCCCGCACTAGGCTCTGCAGTCCTATCACCTCATCCTTACCCAACTCCATTGGCTTCCCATCACACAGATGGGAAGTTCAAGATCCTGGTACTCACCTTCAAAGCCCTCCATGGTCTTGCTCCCCCCTACCTCTGTGACCTCCTAACCCCCTACCATCCTGCTCGCTCCCTCCGCTCAGCGGGCTCCAGCCAGCTTTACGTCCCCCGCCTCGCTCGCCCCACTATTGGCGGGTTGGCCTTCCGCCACTCTGCCCCCACCCTCTGGAACTCCATCCTGCAGTCCCTCCGCCTCGCCCCCTCCCTTGCCACCTTCAAGACCCATCTCAAGACCCTCCTCTTCAACTGTGCTTTTGATCTCCCTGCTTCCCCCCCGACCTCCACTCTACCTGACGCCAACCCCCAGCTCGGCTCTGTAACTCTGTCTATCCAGCGCCTTGGGACGTCCTCCCGATGTGAAAGGCGCTATACAAATATAATTTTGTTGTTGTTGTTGAGTCGGCATTTTGTTCTGCAATGGTTGAGAAAGCACTGGCATAATTTCACTGAGGGTTTGCACATGAGTATCGATATGGTAAAAAGAGTCATTGTATTAACAGGAAAACATACAGATGCTGTCAAGTTATTTTTGTAAGGGTAGAATGGAACAAGATTTTAGATAATACCACTTTCATTGTGGGAGTGTGGGCTAACCAATGTTGTTGACTGTGCCACCCAATCTAAACATCTTCAGATAGGGCAATAAAATGGTTTATTAATAGTGCAGTACTATAAACTGCTGGATGAAACAGTCTGACTAAATACACATTATGGTTATACACTGCTATTTTAAGAAGGATGGTGAACCTGATGACGCAAAAGGAAATGATTTGATAAAGTGAAAACATATGCCTCAAAGTGAATGGCTCAACATTGTAAACTGGTGGATCACAATATGTCACCCAACCAGGAAAGCACCAGCAGTTCCCCTTCCGCCTCAGTTTAGTCAAAGAGGAAAACTTCACGTTACCTCCCAAGTTCATCCCTGCTTTGAGACACTTCCGTAGTCGGCATGCTGGGCAGTTTTTTCTGCGAATCTTGTCAATAATGCAATCATTCCTTCCAGCGCACAAGTAGTTTTGTTGGCCTGTGTTTTTCAAAAAAAAAGAATTGAACAAGTTAACAAAAGTTAAAGCCGCAGAGTGAAATAAGTTATCCGTATACAGTAGTAAATGTCAATTAAGTGCTGAAAACATTTTGATGATTCTCCACTAGTTTGCTCCATTTGCTTATTGGATTTATAGGCCCTGGAACTCATCCACATTCATGCAGAAAATATACAGAAGTTCCCATAAACTGCAACTAAATAGAAACACACTCTGAATACTTTATGGGACATTTGTTAATTAACACAAGGAATGAGATAAAAAACAGTGCATATTTCTTCCTAATACTTACATAGCACCAGCGTTCTTTAGTCAAGACTGACTTGAACGGTGTTCCTGCCCCAGAGGTGCTCCTCCAGGTCAGCTAGAGGTTTGTCGGTGTGAAAAAAACATAGGAAACCGACTTTATATACAGTCGTGGGATTCTTGCTGGAGGCTTGTGAAATGTGGTTTAATTCCATATAAGGAGTTTTAATTTGGGGTATAGGAATCCTCAAGTCCAAATTCTTTATTTAGGATTCCAATGATATACGAATAACCTACACCATTTTCCTGTGTGTTTTCCATTGGTCAGTCATCAATTTTTCCTTATAGTTTTTATGATTGCTGCTCACTTACGAGTCATTGAGATGATCTGAAGAGTTGGCCCACATGAAGGAGTTACAATATGAGTGACTGCATCACATCTGGATACTCTCATCTAACATCTCACAGAATTTGATCTCCCAATTCCTAGTCATAACAGTTCTCAAATTCAAAAGTACAGAGATAATAATAATATAATAATCCTTGCATTTGATATAGCGCTTTTCATGTCGGGAGGACGTCCCAAAGCGCTTCACAAAACACACTGTAAAGTGAATTGACTGTATATTTGTGGGCGAACGCGGCAGCCAATTGCGCACAGCAATGTCCCACAAACAGTCGTAGATTGAAAATGACCAATTTATTATTGTTTTTGGTTTTGGAGGGATTATTATTAGGCTCTGTGTGGAGTAAGGAAACTTGCCCAAGGTTTCGCCCTGACCTGCCTGGAATTGAACCCAGGTCTCTCACTTGCAAAGCGAGTGCTCTAACCACTGAGCTACAGGACTCCACAAAGAGATTGTATGCAATACTGCATCAAAGGGGAAAAAATGACATAATGCAAATTCTTTTTAGTGTACAGAATCTCTTGGAAAACTGATAGAATTTTAAATGTTCATTGCGATGCATGCAGATACCATAGCTGTACGATCAGTCCTAAATAACAACAACAAATTATATTTGTACAGCGTCTTTCGTGTCGGGAGGACGTCCCAAGACAACAGACGGGGATTTTGACCCGAGCAGGGGGTTGGGATCAGGAGGGGCGGAGGGCCGGGAGGGTAGTGGTAGGAGGGTGACTGAAGGGGCGATCAAAGAGGAGGGTCTTGAGACAGGCCTTGAAGGAGGCAAGCGAGGGAGCCAGATGAAGGGAATGTGGGATGGAGTTCCAAAGGATGGAGGCAGAGAGGCTGAAAGCCCAACTGCCGATGGTGGGGTGGGCCGGGCGGGGGACGTAGAGCAGGCTGGAGCCTGCTGAGTGGAGGGAGTGGACAGGTCGATATGGAGTTATAAGGTCACAGAGGTATGAAAGAGCAAGACTGTGCTCAAATAACCTTCACATTTCCTGTGATATATTGGTTGAAAATAACCTCCATATGTATTCTCAGTATTTATATAATATATATTTATGTATTACTTTTGCCCAACAGAAATGCATCTGATTTTCTGATATGAGAAACAGAGAAAAGACAGTTTTGACTTCTTGCGGCAAAACTTATCTCCATGGGGAAAAGTCAGTAAGTCTGACTCAGTTGGTAACATTCGGTTGAAAATCCACACTGGGGTTTTGAGCTTGCAGTGTAGACTGACAGTGCTGTGCTTGGGGAAGCACTACATTGCTGAAGGTGCTGTTCTTCAGAAGAGGCATTAACCTGACGTCTTGTTTGCCTACAAATACACAGTCTCCATACTTTAAAGCAATTCTCTGTAAAATACTTTGGCTTAGTAAATATGCTACATCAAAGGCAAGGATTATTACTATTAGTGGTCAGTGCCACGGTGAGTGTAGTGTCATGAACTGGTGCTGGCAGTCGCTGGGATAATCCTCAATAAACAATCGTCGAGAAACTGAGTGAAAGGATTTGTACTTTAATGAGTGATTTTTGTACCATAAACTCAAATCTTGCAAATATCCCTGAATGTTCAGCGCCTTGGACGTCCTCCCGACATGAAAGGCGCTTTACCAATGTAATTTTATATTGTATTTTGTATTGTCTCAGTTTTAAAATTATTGGTACATGAATTTATTTGGAACACCAGTACTTTCTAAATAATGATGGTCATACAAATAAGTATAGGGTTCCAACTGCAAGACAGCTTTGAAAATGTTTGTAAGAAAGTGACCAGACATACAAGAGGCACACAAAATGATAAATATTCATTTTGGCTTCCATTTGAAGGAAAATTATTAAAAATATCCATTTTACAAACGCTTGCTATACGTATCATTTCCCTGGAAAGAGATTTTTGGCTGCCAACCAAGAATACCATTGACATTTCAGCACAAAAGGTCATTCTGCCCATTAAGCTTAACATGATGTTGGCTCATTCACTAACTACTCAAATTTAAATTCCCTGCTATTTGCCCATACCCTGTTAATATTCTTCCTCTTCAAATGTTATGGTTTCTGTTTCAAATGCCATTTGTGGCAAGGCATTTCTGGGTAGAAATTGCACCTGGGTCGAGATTTACTCTATTTATGTAGCATTTTAGAGCATACAGAATTTGGCAATGCCTCAACCTTGAAGTGGATTTCTGTCATTAAAAGAACTTCTAGAAGACCAGCTTCAAAATTAATACTGCATTTAATAATTTGTCAAATTCTGGATACTCTGAAATCCTGCATCAACAGAATGAATCTATACTCGCATGGAATTTCTCCCATTCATGTTCCAATAATACTCCATGAAAAAGTTTCTTTGAACCTCCCTTTTAGCTCTCCCAATGTCAATTCTGAGATGATGCCCCTTGTTACTCATTTATCAAACTATGGGAATCATAATTAATATTATTAATGTAATTAATATAATCATATCAATATAGGGATACTAGCCCCATTAAAAAATAAAAAATAAATAAATAAGCAAGCAAACAAACAGACAAATAAATAATAATTTGGTCATTCAATCCACAACTGTTTATGGTATAATACTGTGCGAAATTGGCTGCCACGTTTCGCCCACAAAATATACAGTCAATTCACTTTACAATATATTCTGTGAAGTACTTTGGGACATTTTGAAGATGTTATAAGGTGCTATATCAAATGCAAGGATTATTATAATTCAGTATTTATCCTCTAAAAACCTTTCTGAATTTTGAAGACCTTCATTAGTTCCCCTCTAAACCTTCTCTGTTCCAGTGAGAATTTTTTTAATGAGATTTTATCAAAATTTTAGACTTTGCCAGGTTTCACAGTATCATCTGTAGAGTCCTGTAGCTTAGTGGTTAGAGCACTCGCCTGGCAAGCAAGACACCTGGGTTCAATTCCAGGCAGGGTGAAATCTTGGGTAAGTTTCCTTACTCCACACGCCTAATAATAATCCCTCCAAAACAAAACAATAATAAATTGGTCCTGTTCAATCCACAACTGTTTGTGGGACATTGCTGTGTGCTGCGTTTCGCCCACAAATACACGGTCAATTCACTTTACAGTATATTCTGTGAAGCGCTTTGAGACATCTATAAGATGTGAAAAGCGCTGTATCAAATGCAAGGATTATTATTATTAAATGTAACATACCTTTCTATAAAACTCAGATTCTGAATTGCCTTTTTATGACCCTTTCCGCCTGCACTCCTATCTTTAAAGATCAGTGTATTTTACACTTCGACATCAATAAAGAAGGGCCATATTAATCAGGTTATTATAGATCAATGTATTTTGCACTCCGCCCTCAATAAAAAAGGCCTGTATTATTCAGTACTCTGTTCATTTTTCCAAAGCACGTGACTTCTCACCATTAAGCTGCATCTGGCAGCTGTTTGCCATTTTGTTAAGCAACGAGCATGCCTCTGTTTCTCCTACACCAAGTGTCTATATTGCTTCTCTCCTTTTAGAATTCTGCCATTGCTCCATTGCTTCCAAACATTATCTGCTCCACATCTGGATTAAACCCACATTTTGCGGTCAATTGCCTCACTCACAAACATGAAAAATATTCATTGTTGAAAATAACTCCTTGTTGACCATGATGATTTTCTCACATCCAGCGGTGGAGACATTTCAGGCAAGTGCACAATCTCATCAGCATCAATTCAGGAAATTTGTTAAAGTGCCTTTGCGCATGGACAGCTTTTTCTGTTGTGAAAGTGTTTGAATATATATTGTATGAAGCTGAAGCGTTCTGTCTGATTGCTTCAATGAAAAGAAACCAGAGGAAATAAAGATAGCCGATATCTAACAACAACAACAAAATTACATTTATAGAGCGCCTTTCACGCCGGGAGGACGTCCAAAGGCGCTGGACAGTCAGGGGTCAGGAACCGAGCATGGGGGAGGGTTGAGGGAAGACAGAGAGGTGCGAGGGCGACTGAAGGCACGATCGAAGAGGAGGATCTTGAGACCGGCCTTGAAGGAGGCAAGGGAGGAAGCGAGGTGAAGGGACCGTGGGATGGAGTTCCAGAATGTGGGGACAGAGAGGCTGAAAGCCTGGCTAACGATGGTAGGGCGGGTCAGGCGAGAGACATGGAGTAGGCCAGAGCCCGCTGAACAGAGGGAGCGGGTAGCTTGGTAGGGAGTCAGCAGGTCAGAGAGATAGGAGGGAGCAAGGCCATGGATGGCCTTAAACGTGAGGATGAAGATCTTGAATTCGATCCTCTGGGGGATGGGGAGCCAGTGGAGTCGGGTGAGGGTGGGAGTGATGGGGTCACGGAGCCTGGTGCGTGAGAATA